GACGTGGGAGGTAAGTTCAGCCACAGCAGAAGAGATGTCCTCTGTCCTCCTCAGTCTCTTCCATGTTTTCATTACCTTTAGCAGTCACAGAACTGCTGTCTTATGCATGAAAAATTGGTTGGAAGGAACATAAGGCAGTACAAAGTAGCTTTTCATAATATGCATGCTTAGTCATTACCTAGTTACTCCTATTCCAAGTGCCTTACTTGACTGCCTGACCCACAGTCAGCTGCACAATCACTTTCAGTGGAGCTGCAGACCAGACTGAGGTTAGAAAAAATTCATTGCTTGAGCATAACAACTGTACAATTGTCTTTACCACAATTCTTGTGCCCTTCTTGAATTGCTCAAATAAACTTTACAGAAATAAAGACATTTTAGGTTGAGAACTTGCCTACAGTGTGGCACACCATCCTCCAGTGCTTGCACAATAGTGGATTACTGAGTGTCGTTCTTCTATTCCTCATGCAACTTGGTGTGAATTTCCACAAACTCAGGGAACGAGAATTTGGGCTTGGGTGAGACAGCACTAACGTACCAGTACGTGCTTTTCCCTCAGAGAATTCTGCAACTCTAAATAGTCATTTTCTACTGCTTGTGATGGGAAACAAGCCACATCAGGAAGAACATCTCCTTCATGACCTGTCTTGCATACTGGCTGATGATTTCACTCCTCTTTGCGTCAGGCCATGGAAGAGCTGGTGGATGCTGGTCTGGTAAAAGCCATTGGAATCTCCAACTTTAACCACGAGCAGATTGAAAGAATCCTGAACAAACCAGGACTGAAGTACAAGCCTGCAAATCACCAGGTAAGCTGCTAAGTGACTGCAGGTGAATAGTTTTCAGGGATTATGAAGATCTGATTACAGTTAAATGAGGAGATTGAAAAAGGGAGAACAAAGTATACAAAGCATGAACTCTAAATCCCGCTGTAGATATTTCTGAGTACACAAGTCACTCAGATACTTCCTTTTTCATCTCACCTTGCTGAACCACTGTTTACAAATATTAGGACTATTTCCCTGGAAACATTCTTTCTGGAAGAATAAAGAACCCAGAGATGAATGCCCCACAGCAAAAACTGTATGAGCACTTTGTATAAAAACAGGTGTCTTCAATACTAAGGATGCATGTTATCACACAGGCCACTGGCAAATTAGGGGGAAAGGCAGGCTCTAATTGGATTAGGAGATAAATCCCTGGAGCACAACAGTATTACAACAGTTGTGCCACTACCAGCCTCTGTGCTTTTGTGTTGGCAGATTGAATGTCATCCATACCTCACCCAGGAGAAGCTGATCAAGTACTGTCAATCCAAAGGGATTGCTGTGACAGCGTACTGTCCCCTTGGCTCTCCTGACAGGCCATGGTAAGATTGCTTTGTGCTTTGCGAGGGAGCGGGCATGGATTATCCTTGGAACGTTGAAGCTACAAGTGCACCATTAATCATTCATCCAGATACAGATCTCTGTTGCTAAGCTGGATCTTTCTATGAAGGTTTCTTGCCTCTGATTTCTTTTCTCTGTGTAGGGCTAAGCCAGAGGATCCTTCCCTTCTGGATGACCCCAAGATCAAAGAGATTGCAACCAAGCACAACAAAACCCCAGCACAGGTAGGCAGGTGCCAGATAGTGGGTACTCCTCTCTGTAGCACAGCCATTAAGGAAAATAGAGCTCAGGAGTGGGTAGAACTTCCATTCATTCCCCATGAATTGTGGCACTCCTTTGATTTTTCCCTAACAATGCACATTTTTTATTATATGGCCTGCAAGCCATGCTACTATTATCTCTTCATCCCTCAAAAATATTTTTGACCCATCTTCATATGTCACTTCCCCTCTCAAGTTCTCCTGCAGAGAATGAAAGCCTTGCATAGACTGCTAAAAGCCTAGGTGGGAAGAAAAGGAATTGACTGTCCCAAAACTGGATGGGAAAGGAGGCCTTCCATGTGGGCCACCACCACTTCCCTCTTTGCTCTTCAGGAAGTGCTACCTAGGCCATAGGGACAGGAATAGTTTGAATTGTAGCTCCACAGAAAGTGCTTAGTTCTACTGAAATACACATGTGATGAGAAACAGCTGTTGAACAGGCTCTGCTTCCTCCAGAGCAGGAGCCTTCCTCTCTCTGACTCAGCTGTCTGTTCTTGCAGGTTCTCCTTCGCTTCCAGATCCAGAGAAATGTGATTGTGATTCCCAAGTCTGTCACACCACAGCGCATTGTGGAGAACTCCAAGGTGAGTGATTGAGTGACCTGGGTGCTGCCCTTCAGGGACGGCATGGCTTCCCCCTACAGAGCAAGCAGTGACCCTTTCTCTCCCTTCCCAAGTCCTCCTCAGACAAGACTGGGCTTTTTCTTTCTTTATGCTTACCTACACTCTATTGAGGGTTAAGCCAGGTCTACTTTTGGAGAGGACAGGTGAACAGATCTTATATAATATTTCCTATTCTGTGACTTGGGCAGGAACTGGTAGTCACAGCTTGCTCAGAGCCCATGCACAGTAACGTGCCAGAAAAGGCTTATATAGAATATGCAATGTTCATAAAATAGTTCTTGTGTCCATAAAACAAGTTATTCCTCTATCTGTTAATTCAGTGGTTCATGACTGAAAATAGACCTTCCACTGTGGAGCTGCTCCCTAATCTTGTCTTTCTTCACACTGATTTTCAAAGAGGTGATTTTCAGCTGTTTCTCTTGGTAGCTGTTTGACTTTGAATTGACTAAAGAGGAGATGACAACCATTCTCAGCTGTAACAGAAACTGGAGAATCTGTGCAATGAGCATGTAAGTGACACTGCTTGTTTCCTTCCGACTCTTAAATTCTGAATATTCTTCACAAGGAAATTTGTGTCACAGATACTAGGTAGCATGAAATTCAGTTTAGTTAAATATCATGCCAACTCAAATTCCAACTAGTTTCTCCTAAAAATTACTTTTTCAGGAGAGGGTTTAATATTTTCATTTTAAAAATAAAATGAACAAACAAACAAAAAAGAAAATAAACTGCATTCTCATTTTGAATTCAGTTTCCCGGAAACTCTCTGTAACTTGAATTACAAAAAATGGGTTCTGGATGTTCATTTCATCTTCGTCTGTATTAGAGAAATGAGGCAAGAATATGTGGAGATATGTGTCAATAATTACATGATGCAGATCCCTTGGTGGCTCCTCCATGCACCCAATGCACCTCTATATAACATTTAGGTCATCCGTGAAAACAACATTCCCTCTTTGATTTCTTTCAGGTCCAAAACTCACAAGGAGTACCCTTTCCATGCAGAATACTGAAGATGCTTGTAACATGGCTTTCACTAGTGTTTCATGTGCCTCTGCTCTTTCAGCTGTCTCTTTATCTCGCTTTTTTACTGCATCTACCCTGCTGCTCCCAGTGAAGACACAGGATGTTTATCCCATGACATTTTTTTTAGTTCTTTTTTTTTGAAGAAGAAGGAAACAGTATTTTCTACAGAACAAAATGTGGGATGTAATAATTTTCTGATATTAGAAGAGAGGATTACTACTGAAGAGCCTAAGCAGAGGTGCTAAGCAGAAATTGGGGAGAGTTTGTACCACCGTTCAGTGATTGCTGTCAGTCCTGCAGCAGCAGAAACCAGATGTGGACAAACCACAAAAAAACCCATACATCCACACTTTCATCAGAAGTGTCCCATATTTTAAATAAAATTAACTTTAAAAAACATAATTGGCTGGAAGTCTTCCATCTGGTGTAGGAACACCCCAAACCCCTCCTACCCAGAGACTCACAAGAGGGCTCAGCTGCAGTCATCTGCACTTGGGGGACACAGATCCTCCCTGGGACAACAAAGCCACTCGGCGCTTTTCCCTGCAGGCACCAGAGGGCAGCCAGCCCTCAGAGGAGACCCACCTTGCCCCCTCCCCGCTGGCCACCAACCCCAGCGATGCTGGGGGCCATTGCAGATGCCGCGCAATCCGAGTGCCTGCCCCCTGCTCAGGGAAGGCTCAGCCCCACAGTGCCGAGCCCACACCTTAGGGTCTTCTCTCCAGAATTTCCACTTTCATTTCACAAAGTTATACTCCAAGACCATGTGTTTCCCAGCTTCCCAAAGGAAGCAGCCCATAAAGCCCTCATCAGTCTACAGGCAGAGGTAAGACATCCATCCTGTGAAAAAATACACCAAGTTATTGAACCCAGTAAGGGTACAATATTTAATACAGTGTGGGAGCCAAAGATGCAGGGAAGTTCTACCACCCTTCACAATCACCTTCTTTCCCTTGGAATGCTCCTGCCCAAACACTTGCTCTAACTCACGGCGGAGCCACCATTGTGGGCACAGTCACACAAATTCATCCAGATGCTCCTTGGCTAAGGGCAGCACTTACTGCCCCATCCCACCCATGCCAAAGGGCTCTCCTGCTCCCACTTGAAGGGTTTCCTCTCATCCCGAGGCGCACACAACAACCTACTGAAAGAAAGGAGACATCAGAGGGTTTTAGCCACATCAACTTGCTGAGTCAGGCCTAGGTGTCAGGGATGTGCAGACAGGAGCTGCCTGCTTAGGGCAAGTAAATTAACCTGGACCTGCCACAGAGAGTGAGGGCATGTCCTCACAGTTTTGTTTCTGGAGTTTCATTCTAAGTACACAGTTTTGCCAGCTCATCAGATTAATAGCCAAATACCAGAACTATCAAAGACTAAAGTCTTCAAAAAAACTCTTGAGAAGATACAGAGATGGTGGTGGGACCTCAGAGGATGCTCCTGGCTTCATCTGAACTCAGTGCAAGAAAGAGGCCAAGGTCTCAGAACTGGATTAAACCTCTGTCGTCCTGTCTACATTCCTGCCTTAACAAGCTTCTGGAAGTTGAATCGATGCACACAATTTGACAAGGTAAACATCCTGTTTCAATATACTTTCTTCCCAAAGGCTCTACCATTATCTGACAATCCCAGCCATGCCTTCAGGACAAAGAAACAACTGACAGCTCCCTTGTTTTGGCATGATCTGGGGAAAGTCTCACACCAATGGGCACAAACAGCAAAGCAAAATGCAAACCTTCTACTTAAAATCCTCTCTTAAAAGACTGAGACATCTCTCATTCAAGAAACCATTGGGGAAAATCAAGCACCCACCTTCACAGGAGGACATGAGTTTGCAGAGGTAGCAACACAAAAATCCCAGAAGAAAACAAGAGGAAGGACAAACTGCATTTCTCAGCTGTGCTTTCCACCAAGTCTCATCATCTGTCATCACACACTCTACCCAGCTCCGTGCTGCAGGAGTGCAAGGCTTTGAAACCTCTCCCCAGAAAGACAGGCTCAGAAGAATGAGAACAAACACTGCAGGGGTTTCTGCCCTTTCTTACAGGAGATCCCATCTTACTGGCCAAACAGCCAGGCTTTGCAAGCTTTCACAGACTCGCAGCACACAAATCTTTGATGGCACCAGTTCACCTTGGTGCTGCTCCAGCACAAAATCTGACCAATCCGGCAGTTCCTACACCAAGACTTGAAACCCACTCACCATTGATTCTTTCTGAATGTGACACTGCTAACACTAATAAATCTCCAGCACAGCACCACAAGCTTGAATGCCTTGGGAATACAAATGAGAGCAGGAGCAAACTGGCACTTCAGCTGGTCTCTAGGCTCTCTTGAGAAAATACATCACAGCCAAGGCAAAATGTGTCATTTTGCATTTTCCCTGACTTCTCTGAACAACGAACCAGCACCCAAGAAGCTGAGCAGACTCAGAGCAGATCTATGGAGAAGGGATTCCAAAAAAGGATGAAACATAAACCCTGAGTTGTGTAACTGTTATGTGATTA